CAAAAGACTTTACCTAACCTTCAGATGTTCAAGAGATGTTGCTCGTTTTTTTAACAGGTTTCGGTTAAAATACTGTCATATTACAATGATATTCTATTCATAATGTGCTTGATATAATACATTCACGGAAATGTAATATTTTTGCTGAAATGACGTGCGTAATTACAGTGGAAATTGGGATAAAATCGTGACGAAAACAATGACTTTCGCTTTCTTTCGTTCAAAAGATGTTACCGTAATCGCTTTTCGAATGGTTTTCAGTTAAAAAACTGTTGCATCACAAGTGAATTAGGATAGAATATTATTGTAATACAACAGTTTTTTAACTGAAAACCATTTGAAAAGCAATTACGGTAACATCTTTTGAACGAAAGAAAGCGAAAGTCATTGTTTTCGTCACTTTCCACTGTAATACGGACGTCATTTCATCAAAAATATTACATTTCCATATTCTCAGAAATAAATAGTAGTTTTGCTAAAACGTAATGTATTTCAATGTAAATTAGGATAAACTACATGAAAACAAAAGACACTACCTAATCTTCCGATGTTCAAGATATGTTACTCGTTTTTTTAATAGTTTTCGGTTAAATACTGTTATATTAGTGATATTCTATTCATACTATGCTTGATATAATACATTCACGTAAATGTAATATTTTTGTAACTACAATGCTGATGTCAACTCAAGCGTGGTTACAGCGAGACTGACTGACTGAGGGAACGCGGGGTGGCGCGGGCGATGTGTGTGTGTGTGGTGTGCAGTGTGTGGTGTCGTGCGCGATTTGAATAATGTATATTCCTTTGACTGTATATTCCTCCAACGGCAATCCGCGTATTTGCAAATCCGTGTAAGTTAAACCCGCGTATGTTAAGGGCCGACTGTATAATATCCCAGACTAACGTTAGGAGAATATAATTTGCATTGCTGGAATCCTTTCAAGACAGGGAATAATTTGAATATAAATATCATATATTTTCTACAAGAGATAAAATTAATCACCTGTATCACATTACAGTAATGATTTAAGAGTTCTAGTGTATATGTACGCATATATATATATATATATATATATATATATATATATATATATATATATATATATATATATATATATATATATATATATATATATATATATATATATGTATGTATGTATGTATGTATGTATGTATGTATGTATGTATGTATTACCCCGCCTAACGCGGTTTCACTTAACGCGTTTTATCATTTACGCGGTGCCTCGCCAGAGCTGAACTTTTGGATTTTTTCCACATATACGAGGTGAGACTCACCAGCTCGAGACTCTATTTTTAGATTTGCCCCACCCGCCACCCTGCCTGACTGCCTGTTTTAGCTCATAAAATTCATACAAATTACCCGGCCAGAATATAATTTACATTGCTGGAATTCTTATAATTTGGTGATTATTTTGAATATAAACATCATATATTTTGCATTAGACATACAAATTTTAGATAAAATGCTTAATCTGAGTAAGAATGTTATCTTTTGTGCAAAATATATGACATTTATATTCAAAATATTCCAGGTCTTACAAGGAATCCAGCAATGTCAATTATATTATCCTAACTTTAGTTTGAGGTATTATTTATTACAAAAAAGTTAAGTATTCTGGTTTTCCCACACATCTCCTTGGGACGGTTGGTGGGGGGTGGGGGGGAGGGAGGGACCGACCGACCATCTGTTACCCTGTGAAGAATATTTTTTTTTTTTTATTAACTGAAGATATTTGTTTTAGCTCATAAAATTCATACTAATTACCCGGTCAAAATATAATTTACATTGCTGGAATTCTTATAATTTGATGATCATTTTGAATATAAACATCATATATTTTGCATTAGACATACAAATTTTAGATAAAATGTTTAATCTGAGTAAGAATGTTATCTTTTGTGCAAAATATATGACATTTATATTCAAAATATTCCTGGTCTTACAAGGAATCCAGCAATGTCAATTATATTATCCTAACTTTAATCTGAGGTATTATTTAATACAAAATGTTAAAATTTATTTTTTTCACCCACTCTTTCTCTTGAAGGGAGGAGTGGTGGGGGGTGGGGGGGAGGGTTGGGACTGACCGCGCGGTTGGAAGAGGGGGGGAGGCAAGGTGGGGTACTTTGATTGACAGATAGTGTCGTGAAGATTATTATTTTTTTTATTAACTGAAGATATTTGTTTTAGCTCATAAAATTCATACAAATTACCCGGTCAGAATATAATTTACATTGCTGGAATTCTTATAATTTGGTGATCATTTTGAATATAAACATCATATATTTTGCATTAGACATACAAATTTTAGATAAAAATTTTTCTCTGGGTAACTATGTTATCTTTTGTGCAAAATATATGACATATATATTCAAAATATTCCTGGTCTTACAAGGAATCCAGCAATGTCAATTGTATTATCCTAACTTTAGTTTGAGGTATTATTTTTTAAAATTTAGTGGTTTTCCCCCAAAAATTTCTCAGAGAGGGAAGAGCCGGCAGTGTAGTGTGAGAGAGGAAGGGAGTTGAGTCCATTATTTGAATGGACATTAACTTGGCGACTGTATTTCTCTATTTCTCTTAAGTATTAATTGTGTGCATGTACCATCATAAAATTAAGATGTTATTTTTACTACAACATAGTTATGTGTCTTCAAAAAGTGGAGTTTGGGGGTCGGGCCGGTTTCTATTGGAATTAATCCCATATGTTCTGTTGTTCACTTAACGCGGATTTCACTTAACACGGGACCCTCTGGGTTCTATTGACCGCGTTAAGTGGGGTACAACTGTATATATATATATATATATATATATATATATATATATATATATATATATATATATATATATATATATATATATATATATATATATATATATATATATATATATATATATATATATATATATATATATATGTATGTATGTATATATATATATATATGTATATATATATATATATATATATATATATATATATATATATATATATATATATATATATATATATATATATATATATATATATTAGAAGTCCAAATATCCGGACCGCTTGGGGATTGGGTTGGACCGGATTTTCGGATTTTCCGGATTCTCAGGCAGTACTTTTAAAATTAAAATTTAAGGAGGAATAAAGAAGAGATGAACAGTTGTACCCCGCTTTACGCGGTTACACTTAACGCGATTTCTCATATACGCGGTGCCTCGCCAGAACCGAACTTTCACTTAACGCAGTTCATCTACCCATATACGCGCAGAGTGTCCGGCTCGAGACGCTATTTTTAGATTCGCCCCACCCGCCACCCGCTCCCGCCTGCCGCCTGCCTCGCCTCTCCCTCCTCCTCCTCCCTCCCTCCCCTCCGCCTCCATCCCCGTATGCCGACCCATATCTTCTACTAACGTAAGTGTTACACCTAACTTTTAGTTTTCCTAACCTAACCTTTATTTTTCCTAACTTAACCTTTATTTTTCCTAACCTAACCTCTTCTATATTACTTGTTTGTTCATAACATCATAAAGTTAAGATAAAATTTTTACTACAACATAGTTGTGTGTCGTCAAAAAGTGGAGTTTGGAGATATTCTTCTTTGCCATATTCACAGTTAATACCACAAAATTGGAGAAATAGTAAGCAAAAATCGCTTTACAGCAAACAAGCGTTCGCATTATACAAATATCGTTCCTCTATTCATAAATCGTGTAAGAGCCAATTCGCGTTGTCAAAACACGCGTTATAGCAGAACTCACTGTACTCCTGTGTATTTTGCGTTTTTTTTTATCGCGGTTTTGACTATTCACGTTTTTTTTTTTACTAAAAAATTATACTGTATACTGTACTGTATATGTATAAAATATCCTTTAAAAAAAATTAATTTTGCGCCATTTTCGATATTCTCCTGTGCGGTGCGGCAAACAGACGCCACCCTTTCCCGCCTCAGACACCCGCTGCTCCGAGAAGCCTCAGTCCACACGTGCCTACCGTACTGTGAACGCTACTGTGAATACCTCTTCTGTATATAACTGTGTTTACGTTTTTCCATTATTATACTACAATATGATTGGTTTCAAATAATGGTGTTAGTAAATGCCGGTACAGTGCATTAGTAATCAGTGTGACCACTGGGCCGTGAGTGGAGAGCAAGGCCTGGTTAAGTGTATGATCTACCTGAGGTGTTTGGTGGCCATAGGTACAGTGATTCCTAAAAGAGTATTCGCGGTTTTGACTTTTTGCGTGGGTTTCAGGAACATAATTCCCTCAAAAAACACGGGATTACTGTACCAGTCTTTGCTGTAATACAGCTTCATTGACAAGGCAGCTCTCGCGCCCTTATCATATAGAGGTTTTTTTTTAATATATTTATTTAACCAAACTTTAAGATAAACTGCTCAGGATTATTCTAGTAAAGAAATGGGGTTTCTAACTTAATTAGAACTGCTCTTATAGATTCTGGTAGTTTAGACTCATATCTCATTCCCAGAAGTGCTGTGCACCAATTGTTCCGGCTAATAGGGATATCACTGTACTTCATCATGGGTGAAACAGTATGCTTGACAAGGCTGTGATGTGTTGGTGGGACACAACCATCCATAGCCCAGAGACACCTGCTTTCACAGGCAATGTGTTAATCGTGTGTCGTGTGTCAAATTAGATCACTGAGTATGTATAATTATTTTATGTGATAGACAGTCAAAGGTTGATCACCAGTGAGATATATACAGGTCAGAGGGTAAACAAAACTAGTGATAGATTAAGGAACTTGGCTTTGTTATTTTATTGGGCATAATTCTAACTGAGGAGGACATGTGTGAAGATCTAGAATACAATAAATTAATATATGTATTTTCTTTTGTCGCTACAGTAATTTTATATGAATTAATTTATGCTTAATTGATAACATGAATTGGCATTTATGACAAATTTCATTTCTTTCTGGCAATATTAATGCAATGTACTATATACATTTTTTACATATTTTAGGTACAAGTCAATTTTTCCAAAAATATCAGTGAAAGAAAATTGCTTGACTTGGAGAAGAATGAAATTCAACGTTCCATTATTGAGACCCGAGAGGAGATGGAGCAGCTGGAGAAGGAAGAAGCTGAAAGACGACGGAAACACAGCATCATTACAGCTCACTCTCAAGTAAGTCATCTTATGATAATAATATTTTCCATAGCCTGATGCTATCCACCAGACAGCTCTTGTAAAGTGGGAGCTATCATTGTGATTAGATTGTCCTTCCTTCCTGTTATAACCATCACTCATAAAGTAAGGGAAATTAATAACAAGTCCTTGCTTAATGTCATAGTTGTGTTTCTGTAAACCACAACATTAAAGGAAACAGCATCAATAAAAAAAAAATTCCCATAAGTAATAGATAAAATGTTAGCTACTTTCCCAGCCTCTCTCCCCATAAAATACATTACTGTACTAATATATAAATTCAATTAAATTTTTCTAGAATATGTACGAGGCCACCGCAGTAGCAAGGGCACAAGTGACATTATTTAAAAGTAGAGAAAAAGATGACTTTTGTGAAATACCCATTGGCACATGGGGGCCTACCTGCCTTGTTGATAGTAATTTTTTGGTCATACGACTGGAGTATGCCTTGCCTTCTTTATGAAGCCTTTTTGCAACATTACTCCTCCACAGAGTTGTTAAGTAAATATATAAATTTACTTGTGTACTGTACTCAAGTAACATTTTTGGGTATCTACATTTTAAAAAGTACTCAAATTTTTAAGCACTTTTACTCTTACTTAAGTATGGTTTTCTACTACTTTCTCTCCAATACAATTGAATAAACAAAATTTGTTACTCTTTACATGCAAACTAATAATAAATTTTAAAATTAATAATTAATTATTAACCATAGTAAAAGTTGTGTGGGTGGAGGGTATGGTGTGGATGGAGCCGTGAAGGGTACGGTGTGGGTATGGGGAGGCACCACACGGTCACATACCTAGAGGTCTTGTGAGGCGAGGTGAAGTCAGGTTAGGTCAGGTCAGGCGGCAATGACAGCGGACTTTCCCTTTGAACTTCATTTGTCCATTAGCACCTTGACCACCCGTAGTAAGTAGTAGGCAGCTACCAAACAGGGAGGTACTACCGCCTGGGAAGATATTGGAAGCATAATGTGTTGTCTAATGATAGACCCTGCTGCCATGTGGCATCACAAAAATTGTGACCATGTCCCAGGTTGCTGATCTGACTTTCTGCCTCATTTACACACAGTTGCAGGGTCTCAGTTGTTTCACTTACTATTGACAACACAACATACATATATTGTTTCTCACTTTTGATCTTTTTTAATTTTTGTATTTCTTTATGGTTCTTTATTATTATTATTATTATTATTATTATTATTATTATTATTATTATTATTATTATTACTGTTATTGTTATTATTACTATTATGATTACATTTTCGCCCCCCAGGCCCTGATGTGGGTCAGTGACCTGTACCCGGGTGGGCTAATCCCCCCCCACCCCTCCTCCCCCATTGAATCCCCTCTCTTTTAACCCCACCTTTCCTTCTGGGGCTTGGTCTTTTAAGTTCCCAGTGAACGTCAGTTGTTTTTTGTATATGTTTGTACCCAAATTGAATTTCAAAGAGGCCGTGATTCTAAAATGCTTTACATAATGATGATGATAACCTGAGACAATTAACATCCATACAGCAGACACCCAGCTCTTCAGAGCTAAGCCAAGTAGTAACAATTTCTGAACTCCTACAAGCATTACAATCTATTAATGCCATACCTGCGACATTTATTTTTAAATCTACAAATACCTGACACAAATGAAGATTTACAGATAACTTTCTTTTCACATAATGTATCTGTTGACATCGTTGGTGGCATTGTAGCCAGGTTAGACACATCACTGTAACCAGCAGGCTACTGGGCCAAGCTTTGAGGTGTTATTGTTGTTTTTCAGCTCATTTTTTTGGGTGGATATACAGTACGTAATTTTCTTCATTTATTTTTACCCAATTACATGCACACACCATCCTACATACATATTGTGAAAAAGTAAAAGAAATAATTGTCCTTAGGGAATACCGGGTATATATTTTGTTTGCACATGAATTAGCTGGCTCAGTGGGGGAGAGAAAGGAGGGCAAGGCGTGTGGGTGGGGGAGCACTGCTAGGGAATTGGCGGAGGTAGCATCTGCATTGCTATGCTGAGGCGGGGACTCGAGATGTACTGTACAGTATATGCATATGGCGACTGTGTTAAACTTTCATTTGGCTTTTATTTACTGATTTGGCAATACACTATTTTTTGTTGTAACTTATTGTTATTATTTTTATTTATTCCTCACATTTACTGGTACTGTATATATTGTTTGAAGAAAACTATGGCTACAGGAGGAAAATACACTACACAAAAGTTCGTTCTTAAATACTGTACTTCCTGTTAAAATGGGGTGTGTGTCTTATTTGCCATAAAATATGGTAAATGCATGCACGTAAATAATACATACACAATAACATGTTATTGTACTATAATATATATAACAAAATAACTTAAATGTGATCATAAGCTTACCAGCATTCATGAGTGAAAGTGACGAGGCGCAGTGAAGAGGCGTTATGGTTCTGGTTCTGAGGAGTGTGGTTTGGGGGGGGGGGGACTCTAAACTATTTTCAATAATGTTTATGTATCTGTAATATGAGTTTCTACATTCCAATTCGAAGTTGTCTCTCATATTACACAATTTGAACAAATATTATGAAATCTATTAAAAAAATTGCAATATACAGTACAGTACTTTATAACAGAAAAACTTCAGAATTATGAGGGATTTTGAAATGTTGGGGGATGAATTATGTTGTTGTTGTTGTTGTTGTTGTTTTTTTTTTTTTTTGTTAAGTTTAGTAAAAAATAATATTTATAGGATCAGTTTCATATTTTATAAGATAGTGTGAATATTGTCAGCCATCGACAAGGATGATGCATGAGGCAGCTATTCTCAGAAGAGATCGACAAGAGGAGGAGAGAAAGTTGGAGGAACATCGCCGAGAGATTGAACGTATAGAGCAACAAATGCAACAACTGTGGGGTCCTCAGTATGCCCCTCCGGTAAATATCAGCTGTAATAATAATAATAATAATAATATTATTATTATTATTATTATTATTATTATTATTATTATTATTATTATTTAATCAGTAAAACTGTCATAAATTTTTTTAATTGGATAGGCATGTATACAAACTGCAGTTATACAGGTCATCGTGAATATTGACAATGTAGGTATACTGTGCACATATGTCATACAGTTCTTTTTACTTTATTAGCATTATTTAATTGCTCCTTAATGCACTTTTTGATCACATGGCTATGAAGATGACTTTAATTATAGAGCTTTCTTGGTAGCTTGGCACACAAAATTTGTTATTGTGTCCTTTAAACATAATGAATTATTAATATACTAACACAAAAGTGTTGGTATAGTGCATTTTTTCTCAGCTGAGAAAAGATGCCCCACCCCCTCCTCAAGAGTTACAGCTGATTGGCTGTTGCAAACCTGTCTGATTTTGTCCTGAAGTAATGATGTATTTCTAGATGAGTTTATTCATAATCGCTGGGATGACCATTTCTGACAAGAGTTAAACTCTGGTAGCAAATTTACGCTTTTGGAAAATGCATTTAATGTAAATTTACAGGTACTCCTCGACTTACGACCTACGCGACTTACAACCACCTGGACATACGACCGCCGCAGGCATATAAAATATTTTTCAAATTACGTATTTTCGAGTCCCAACGTTAGTGATCGCGCTGTGTACTAACAGAATTTTCGTTTGTAATTCCCTTTAAAATGGATGGCAAGCATAAAAGTGAGAGTTTCCGTGGTGCTGAGAAGAAAAAGAGACACCCATTTTAGATTTTCTATGTATTATTTTCGCATTTTCGACTTACGACCAATTCGACTTACAACCTGGTCATCGGTCTCTAGCCCCATCGTAAATCGAGGACTGAATGTATTTTTACCCACAATAAGGCATACTAAGACTAATTACGTATCAGTAATACTACATTATGCAAAAACAACATTTTAAAATATCAGAATCACACGACTGTGTAATATTTCAATGTGATTCTGATATTTTAAATTGTTGTTTTTGCATAATGTAGTATTACTGATATGTAATTAGTCTTAGTATGCCTTATTGTGGGGAAAAATAAGTATATATTAAATGCATCCTCCAAAAGCGTGAATTTGCTACCAGAGTTTAACTCGTCAGACACGTTCATCCCAGCGATTATGAATAAACTCATTTAGAAATACATCATTACTTCAAGACAAAATCGGACAGGTTTGCAGCAGCCAATCAGCTGTAACTCTTGAGGAGGAGGAGGGGCATTTCATCTCAGCTGAGAAAAAGCGCGCTATAGTTATCTCTTCAACCGCAACTGTGTAGTGTACACACTTGCATGTGTACTGTACCGGATATGTCCCAAGAAGGGAGTATGTACCATCTTCTCTAGATTTACTTCTTCAGTGTCCTGTATTTCAGTACAAAAAGTAACTAAAAAGCTCAAAATGAGGCTTCAGATTTTATCCCATCACTGCTCTTATTGGAACTAGGCTGGATCTGCACACCAGGCTCTGTACAGTACTGTATGTGTGAGTAGAAGTGACATGCAGGTACTGTACCACATGAGAGGCAGTTTTGTGATTAGGTGTGGAACTTTTAACTCGATGCATTTGTTCAAAAAAGAGAATACAGTATGTTTGGTGTGCCTTAATTTGCAAAAGACAAAGATACTTGAGAATATTACAGTAAGTATTGTATTTAGGTAAAAACATATCAAAGATACTAGACTAGCAAGATACTTGAAGGTAGGCAAGAAGTTGGAAATGTAAGAAATAGAAATGCTGTAAAGGTATGTTAGTCACCACATTTGGTGAATTTTACTGGAAGGGCTGATGCTACTCAGTCCACTGGCTGACATTCAATTATACAGTATATGCAGGCAGTTGTGATGTTACACTCAGGTACAGTATTGTACAGTACAGACATACACTCACACAAATACACATGCACTACTCATTATCTATCAGTAATAATTGCACACATTTACACTCTCTTTGCCATTGTCATATTTTAATACAGGGAATAGTTATGCCTTTAAGTACAGTGAAAATTGACACATGTTTAAATCTCTATTGATTTTCAGCGTTATGGTCGCAAGAGGTTTGCCTGGTGACCTGCCAAGTCTAGACATATCTATGACGACTTTTTGAAGTGTCATCTTCCAAGTAAATGGTTCCTTGTTAACCAATTAATGTGTTCAACTTATTTTTAAATAGTGATGCTTAGTTGTATAAAAAAGAGAAATATTTTGTGTAAAGTACCTGTACAGTGCATGTTTTTTTTACAAACCAGTGATAGTGTTATGGATAATTAATGCTTTTTGTTCATCACCATATATTTGTACATTATTTGTATTTACCATGTTCTCTGATAGACATGTTTTTTTCATTTTCTTGTATGTCTCATTTTCTTATTTTTTTACAGATTAAAATCACTTGTAGAAATGTTAAGATGTTGACAGAATACTGTATGTGGGATGGATTGTTCTCCCTTCACTCAGGAGATCCTATTTTTGTATTAATAACTAACTAATAAATATACTCAACATTTTAATAATTACAAGAGCACTTTTTATAGATTACACTTGTATAAACAGTAAATTAAGAATGAGCTGTATAATGAGCTGCACCTTATGAATGGAAGTATGACTGTCCATCCATTATGTAGGTTGGACCTCACTAATCTAGGAAGCTTAGGACCAGACCGGTTCCGGATTAGCAAACATTCCGAACCGTTGAATTTGAGGTAAAAAAATTTTTTTTAATAAAATAAAAAATAATGCATAAAATGTACTATGACTGGTACCAATGTTAGAGTCTGTTTTCCTTCCCGGTACTTCAGATTTATTTAATTAATTCTTCTTTTCTATACTTATACTATACTTATATTCTTCTATTCTTAGTCTTTCTCTATATAAGTATCTATCTTATATTTCTTTGCTTATATTTTCTAAGTCAATATTCTTTTCTTTACTTTATTTCTTCGTTCATATATATTATTGTATTTTTCTGAATTATATGTCCTTAATTTCTCTCACTTATATCCTGTTTTAGTTATATTCTAAACCACGGATTAGTCTGGGAAACCATGTCATTCTTATTACAGTAGAAGTCCAAAAATCCGGACTGCTTGGGGATTGGGTCGGTCCGGATTTTCGGATTTTCCGGATTCTCAGGCAGTACTTTTAAAATTCAAATTTAAGGAGGAATAAAGAAGAGGTGAACAGGTACATTTTGATAGTTTCTTCATTAGCAAATATAGCATGCTTCATTTATCAAAACGAGCAGTTTTAATGAAAAAGCTGTGAATTCTAGAATTTTATTCTTTGCCTTTTTTATATCATAAATTGTAGACTTTCCAATGTTGTATGTTTCCATTAGAACAGTATTGCTCACACCACGTACTGTACTAGTTTCTTAATTATTTCAAGTTTGTCACTCAATTTAACGTGTTCTTCTTTCTCTTCACACAACGAAGTTTATCTACTTTAGGAGCCATTATTATGGGCTTGTACAGTAATCTGTAAATGGAAAGAGTAGGACTCAAAATATTGTTATATTACAATGGTATTCTATTCATACTGTGCTTGATATAATGCATTCACGGAAATGTAATATTTTTGCTAAAATGACGTACGTATTACAGTGGAAAGTGGGATCAAATCGTGACGAAAACAATGACTTTCGCTTTCTTTCGTTCAAAAGATGTTACCGTAATCGCTTTTCGAATGGTTTAGTTAAAAAACTGTTGTACTGTATTACAATAATATTCTATCCTAATTGACTTGAATAAATACTACGATACCATATTTCTGAATATTTTCATTAAAATCCATCAAAATCATTTTCCTTGTCATCGTCTTAAGCACCAAACAGCTTCTCCCAGTCTCTCCTTGAACAGGGCTAGAGGGTACGTGTTTTTCGAATCGTTTTCAGTTAAAAAACTATTACATCACACGTATATTTTACCTAAACTGCGCCTGAATGAATATATTCTCGGAAATAAATAGTAGTTTTGCTGAAACGTGATGTATTTCAATGTAAAATAGGATAAAATACATGACGGAAACAAAAGACTTTACCTAAGCTTCCGATGTTCTTGAGATGTTACTCGTTTTTTTAATAGTTTTCAGTTAAAATTCTGTTATATTTCAATGATATTCTATTCATACTGTGCTTGATATAATACATTCACGGAAATGTAATATTTTTGCTGAAATTACGTACGTATTACAGTGGAAAGTGGGATAAAATCGTGACGAAAACAGTGACTTTCGCTTTCTTTCGTTCAAAAGATGTTACCGTAATCGCTTTTCGAATGGTTTAGTTAAATGACTGTTGTATTACAATAATATTCCCTCCTAATTGACTTGAATAAATACTTGAATGGAAATCTACAATATTTTTGTTGAAACTACACGCGTTTCAGTGTAAAGTGTCCCCCATCATACGAGTCCGTTTTCTCTCACATCAGGACGCCTGAGTCCTCCGTTTTCTCTCTTAATCTTAGAGTGCATCAGAGACTTCGTTATTCTTAGTAATGCCACAGAATTTGAAATTGCAACTGGGGTTGCAATTGTTGAGGCAACTAGATATGTCTGAATACAGCAAATGTGTTATTGTCAATTTGTAGGTGAAAGATTTTATCCTCAATAGATGTACGTTAACATTACACCTGGAGGCAAATGCTTAAAAAGAGCCTAAGGAAGGAAGCATATTCCTTTAACACATATCTGACCTGTATGGGGAGGATCATCGTGTCTCCGTCAGGGGGTCGTGGAGTGGTGGTCCAGTAGGCGTCATGGAATTTTTTTGGGGGGGAGGGGCACGGACGTATATGCGATAGGACGTTGTTCGGTCGGACGTTAACCGGCGCATGACTTTCATATACAGTTGTACCCCACTTAACGCGGTCAATAGAACCCAGAGGGTCCCGTGTTAAGTGAAATCCGCGTTAAGTGAACAACAGAACATATGGGATTAATTCCAATAGAAACCGGCCCGACCCCCAAACTCCACTTTTTGAAAACACATAACTATGTTGCAGTAAAAATAACATCTTAATTTTATGATGGTACATGCACACAATTAATACTTAAGAGAAATAGAGAAATACAGTCGCCAAGTTAATGTCCATTCAAATAATGGACTCAACTCCCTTCCTCTCTCACACTACACTGCCGGCTCTTCCCTCTCTGAGAAATTTTTGGGGGAAAACCACTAAATTTTAAAAAATAATACCTCAAACTAAAGTTAGGATAATACAATTGACATTGCTGGATTCCTTGTAAGACCAGGAATATTTTGAATATATATGTCATATATTTTGCACAAAAGATAACATAGTTACCCAGAGAAAAAATTTTATCTAAAATTTGTATGTCTAATGCAAAATATATGATGTTTATATTCAAAATGATCACCAAATTATAAGAATTCCAGCAATGTAAATTATATTCTGACCGGGTAATTTGTATGAATTTTATGAGCTAAAACAAATATCTTCAGTTAATAAAAAAAAAATAATCTTCACGACACTATCTGTCAATCAAAGTACCCCACCTTGCCTCCCCCCTCTTCCAACCGCGCGGTCAGTCCCAACCCTCCCCCCCCCCCCACCAATCCTCCCTTCAAGAGATGTGGGGTGAAAAAAATAAATTTTAACATTTTGTATTAAATAATACCTCAGATTAAAGTTAGGATAATATAATTGACATTGCTGGATTCCTTGTAAGACCAGGAATATTTTGAATATAAATGTCATATATTTTGCACAAAAGATAACATATTTACTCAGAAAACATTTTATCTAAAATTTGTATGTCTAATGCAAAATATATGATGTTTATATTCAAAATGATCATCAAATTATAAGAATTCCAGCAATATAAATTATATTCTGACCGGGTAATTTGTATGAATTTTATGAGCTAAAACAAATATCTTCAGTTAATAAAAAAAAAAAAATATTCTTCACAGGGTAACAGATGGTCGGTCGGTCCCTCCCTCCCCCCCACCCCCCACCAACCGTCCCAAGGAGATGTGTGGGAAAACCAGAATACTTAACTTTTTTGTAATAAATAATACCTCAAACTAAAGTTAGGATAATATAATTGACATTGCTGGATTCCTTGTAAGACCAGGAATATTTTGAATATAAATGTCATATATTTTGCACAAAAGATAACATAGTTACTCAGAGAAAAATTTTTATCTAAAATTTGTATGTCTAATGCAAAATATATGATGTTTATATTCAAAATGATCACCAAATTATAAGAATTCCAGCAATGTAAATTATATTCTGGCCGGGTAATTTGTATGAATTTTATGAGCTAAAACAGGCAGTCAGGCAGGGTGGCGGGTGGGGCAAATCTAAAAATAGCGACTCGAGCCGGACACTCACCGCGTATATGTGGAAAAAATCTGTGTTAAGTGAAAGTTCAGCTCTGGCGAGGCACCGCGTATATGATAAAACGCGTTAAGTGTAACCGCGTTAGGCGGGGTAATACTGTACAGTATTACCCCGCTTTACGAGGTTTCACTTTCCGCGTTTTCTCATTTACGCGGTGCCTCGCCAGAACCGAACTTTCACTTTCCGCAGTTCATCTACCAATATACGCGCAGTGTCCGGCTCGACGCTATCTATAGATTCGCCCCACCCGCCTGCTCCCGCCTCCTCCCTCCTACGCCTCCGCCTGGCCAAGCCGCGCGGTAAGGTTCGCAGTGCATGTCTCTGTTGCGTTATCATTGATGTCATATGACGTATCGGACTGTGATTGGCCATGCATCCCTACCTCCCTCCGCTGCTAGCTGTAATTGGTTTAAAGTAATATGACGTGTCCACCCGGAGAAGGGAGGGAGGAAAGACGACCGCACGCCAGCATGGAGTCAACGAATCTACGATTCGTACTATTAAGAAGGATGCAGCCAAGATCAAAGAGCACATGAGAATCACAAAGTCTGCAGGTGCTTCAATGATCAAGTATTGCCAGAACAAGGTGCTGCTAAAGGTGGAAAATTTGCTGGTGAGTTACTTGATTCGTCAGGCGCGACGCAACATGGCGGTGGACACGCGAGCCGTTCAAGAATAAGCACGTGAACTGTACGCAGCAGTGTCACGTAAGATGGGAATTGCAGAGCCCAAACCCTTCAATGCTTCCTCTGGTTGGCTGCATAGGTTTAAGAAGAGGAACAATATCACCAACATCAACATTGGTGGTGAAGAAGCGAGTGCTGACCGTGTGGCGGCAAGAGATTTTCCTCCGTTCTTATGTGAGGTTATGGAGGAAGGGCAGTTCACCGACGACCAGGTATTCAACATGGACGAATCCGGCCTATTTTGGAAAAAGCTGCCTACCAAGACCTTTGTTGTCCAGTCTGCCAGCAAGGTTCGGGGTCGGAAGTGCAGAAGGAGCGCATCACCATCCTCTTTACCACCAATGCCTCCGGTACCTGTAAGCCAAAGTTATCGGTGATTCACACAGCCCGCAAGCCGCACGCCTACAAGAACGTGGACATGAGCAAGATTAATGTCCACTGGTTGACCGCACGCAAGGCGTGGATGTTCTCTGCTCTGTCACTCTCCTGGTTTGATGACTGTTTCATTCCCGACGTGAAGAAATTCTGCGAGCAAAAAAATGTGCCATTCAAGATTTTGTTGCTCCTTGACAACGCACCAGGACACTCGCCCCTACTTATGGATCGTCACCCCAACGTAAAAGTGGTCTTCCTTCCTCCCAACACTATATCATTAATCCAGCCCATGGACCAGGAGTTGATCTGCAATGTTAAAGCTGCATACTCGGCAAAGAAATTCAAGCTCCTGAACGACTGTACCAACACCAAGGATGAGTTGCGTAAGCTGGG